CCCCTTACCTAGCAACCTCCGGGTGAGGCCCCACTTTCTCAGTATAAAAAGCCGTCACGGTTGTTGTTGTGCAATGCGCACCTCATATCACAAGATTTCCAATAGGGCAATGGGTAGAGTTTTGGACCAGAGGGTGGGAGACCAGGGTTTGAGATCGACACGGACACAAACAATTTAATTATTTATTTTCGTTTGTTATGAACACATTTTCTCATGTACCTCTATTGTTTAGCTTTAGCCTATTTGTTCGAGTTTCTGAGGTATTTTGACCGCTGCTGCTCCAATTACCTGCGCTGGTAACAGCATGCAGAGTGAGTGCAGAGCTCCGACAGGAGGAGGGGGAGAAAAAAAAGCTGCGACCGACTCTGCCTCTGAGTCTGCCTCTGGGTCTCATATGGTTGTACAACGGAGCTTCTGCTATTACTAGCCATGCTAACGTAAACGCTGGCTTTGGAGGGCGGAGTTAATGTCAACAGATTTTTGGAGGGCGTTACCAACAGAGCTCATTAACATAAACAGGTCGTTCTGAACGGAAGTCAGAGCAGGCAGAACTAGAAAATGGGAAATTTTATTATCTGAGAATTATTTTGTGCATTAAATTGAATGAACATGGTCTGGATAGCCCACAGACATACCATAAAAACTTCTAGGACCCATAATTGGTCTCCTTTAAGCACTCACAGTAGTTCTTTAGTTCTGTTTTAACTTGTTAGTTCAGATCTTTAGGTGGGATTCTGAATGACTTCACTTTGTAGGAACAGGGTTTAATTCTGACTGGATTAAAGAGCTAACAGCTAATCTGATATCAGTCGAGCATCATTCACTCAACTTTTTCACAGAAATTATTGTTTTTTTTCTGACAGTAAAGAAGACACCATTATTATTATTTTTTTATTTATTTATTTTTTCAGGACTCGGGTTCTGCTTCAGTGTCCAGCCGGGGGTCACCATCCTGGGGCACTACTTTGTGCGTCGCCGTGCGTTCGCCAACGCTATGTCCTCCACGGGCACCGCCCTCGGACTCTGCGTCCTGCCCGCCTTGGGGAACTACCTCCATACAGAGTACGGCTGGAGGGGGAGCTTCCTCATTCTGGGCGCCGTCCTTCTGAACCTCTGTGTCTGTGGAGCCGTGATGAGGCCCCTCCAACCCAAAAGGCATCGGGGCCAGCCTCTGAACCCCAAACCCCCTTCGTCGGATCAGGAAACCAGGAAGGCAAAGACCGTATGGAAGTGTGTGGCGGCCTCCCTGAGCCATCACATGGCCTTCGACCAGCTCCGCCACAACCGGCGTTACTGCGTGTACGCCGTGGGCATCACCTTCATGATGCTGGGCTTCGTGGTGCCCCTGGTGTACCTGGTTCCTTACGCCACATCAAACAACATGGAGCCGAGCCAGGCCGCCCTCCTGCTCTCCATCCTGGGGATCATCAACATCATAGTGCGGCCGCCGTTCGGCATAGTCTTCAACATGGCCTGGTTCAATGGGCGCCACATTTACGTGTTTTCCTTGGCTCTRCTGGTCAACGGGCTCAGTAACATCATCTGCTGCATTGGGGCCGAGTTCCCTGTCCTGGTGTTGTACGTCGCCACCTACGGGCTCTCCATGAGCGTGGTGGGCTCGCTGATGTTCACCGTCCTCATGGATATCGTGGAGATGAGCCGCTTCCCTTCGGCTCTGGGCCTGCTGGCTGTCATGGAGAGCGTCACGCTGCTGACCGGACCTCCACTGGCAGGTAAACGCTCGGACACGCTCGGACACGCACAGGCTTAGTTCAGACATGAGAGCAGGAATGTTTAGTAGATTCTTGTTTATGAGGGGTTTGTGGAGCGCAAGGTGTTAATGAGGGTAAACTTCATGGTCAAACAGATAAAAATCAGCTTGCAGGACAGAAACAGACATACTGTATCTGATGATCAGACGTTCTGGTAAACATTGAAGCAGGTTTTGTTTGTTTTAGTCGTTTCTCCTGTTTTTTATTGATTTTACCTTGAAATCGTCTCGTTTTGTGAAAACAAAGCCGAGACTTTCAAATTAATGGTCCGAATTCTGTTGAGCTTTCATTATTGAGATGATCCATTTTTCTTCTGTATGTTTTA